GCAGGGTATCAGCTGGATGAGGATGTGGGGGGCACAGTATGCAAGGGACGAGGGTCTGGAGGGGACCCAGGGGCGGGATGGGGGCGTGTCCTCTTTAGGGTGGGCGAGGCGGGGCACCGCCAGAACCAGCATATTCACGCGGTCCGGGCTGGCCTTGCACGGAACAGGACTGTGCGCGCATGCCTGGACGGGCGGGGGAGGGCTGCCCAGCGCAGGGGTGGGCGCTGGGACAAGGACAGAATGTCTTGAACAGGGTTAGGGACAGGGCGCGGGGGGTGGGGTGGGAGGTGGTGTCCACTCCCAGGATGGGGTGTGGACGGGGTTAAGCGGTCCTGTCTCAAGGACAGGGAGTGAGGGTCATCTGGGACGGGGCTGAGGCTGGGAAAGCAGCAGGCCTGACCCTTGCAGGGGTGGTAGGTGATGGGAGCTGAGCCTGTCCTGGTGGAGGGTAATCAGGCCACACAGATCTAAGGACAGAGCGGGGCCTTGTGACAGCAATGACCCCGTGGGCTGACCTGGACCTGGCAGGACCCTGGCAAGAAGATTTGGCATGAAAGTGGTGTGGGACCACTGACCACCAAGGCCAGGATGGTGACTGGGGATGAGCAGGACCTGTCAGGTTCAGGGTGTGGGCGGGGCTCGTCCTAGACAACCAGGGTGGAGGGCGTGGTCTGTGTTTCAGGCCCCGCCCACGAGTCAGCCCGTCCCCGCCCCCATCGGTAGGCGTGGTCCAGGCGCGCTATGGACCCGCGTGGCGCGAGCAGAGGCGCTTCTCCGTGTCCACCATGCGCAACTTCGGTCTGGGCAAGAAGTCACTGGAGCAGTGGGTGACCGAGGAGGCCTCCTACCTCTGCGCTGTCTTCTCTGCCCAGAACGGTGAGAGATGGAGCACAGACCATGAGGGGGAGGGGAGTCTCGGATGCGCCTTGTGACCAGCGATGTCCCTCCAGGACGCCCTTTGAACCCCAAAGCCCACCTGAACAAAGCGGTGAGCAACGTGATCTCCTGCCTCACGTATGGGCGCCGCTTCGAGTACGACGACCCCACCTTCCTCAAGATCTTGGAGATGGTGGAGAAAGCCCTGAAGGGTCCCGGCTTCCTGCATGAGGTGCAGAGGTCGTGGGAGCTTGGGGGCTGAAGGGAATGCAGGCAGGGCAGACTTCCTGGAAGAAGCCCCTTCCCTGTGCAACTAGGCATCCCCGGAAGCAAATTTGTTTTAGGGGTGCTGAATGGTGCATCCTGGGGCCTTTCTGCTGGTGCCTGAGACTGGAGGCTGGGTCAGCTGAGCACTGGAAGGTCCCCAGATCCTCGTGTGATGTCACAGGTGCTGAACCTGGCTCCCGTTCTGCTACGTATCCCGGGCCTGGCCGACAAGGTCTTCTCAGGACCGAAGGCCTTCATGGACCTGTTGGATGGGCTGATAACAGAACACAGGGAGACCCGGGACCCCACCCAGCCACCCCGGGACCTGACTGATGCCTTCCTGGATGAGGTGGAGAAGGTGAGGGACCATCAAAGATAGGTGGGCATCACCTAGTGTCAGGACCAGTAGGAAAGGAGCAGGTTGAAGGGCCCCCTGCCCCCTGGTCTGATCCTTTCTGCCTGGTCCAGGCCAAGGGGAACCTTCATAGCAGCTTCAACAAGGAGAACCTGCGCCTGGTGGTGTCCGACTTGTTCTTCGCAGGGACAGTGACCACATCAACCACACTGTTCTGGGCCCTCCTGCTTATGCTCCTGCACCCGGACGTACAGCGTGAGGAACCTGGGGCCTGGGGGTGGGCAATCAAACAGGCTGCCCCGTACACACTGAGTGTAATATGCACACAAGTGCCCCAACACAGCTAGATCTGGCTACTGGCCACATGATAACACTCCCGATAGAATGATTTTAGTTCTGTTTTCTTGGAGAATGGCAAGAGAGGATGAGGGTTCAAATCCAGGGACTCTGGCTCACTGGGGCTCTCTGTGTGCAGGCCGTGTGCAGGAGGAGATCGACGAGGTGATAGGGCAGGGCCGGCCTCCTGAGATGGCTGACCAGGCCCACATGCCCTACACCACCGCTGTCATCCACGAGGTGCAGCGCTTTGGGGACCTAGTGCCACTGAGTGTGCCTCACATGACGTCCTGTGACACTGAAGTGCAAGGCTTCCTCATCCCCAAGGTAGGATGGCAGCCACCCTGTCCTCTGCTCCGCTCCACCTCCCTCCTGGTATAGCTGGTCTTTGCCAGGTGGAGCCCGGACAGACACTAGGTTGCCCCTCCTGACACTTACTTGTGTGTCCAGCCCTGGGGGGCATGGGGTGCACAGCAGAAGCAGGGCCAGTCCTGTCCAGAGCCCCAGTCTGCTGAAAGACATATCAAACATGCTACCAAGTACTGGATGAGCTAGGTGGTAGTGATGGTGTCCGTGGCAGTGTCTGTCGCCTGACTGTCCTTTGGGTCAGGAAATGTTTCAGTGACTTCTTGGACTAAGCATCCTATGAATGTGTCCAGCTGTGACCAGCAGAGAATGCATGAGCTCATGTGAGGTGGTGGCCAGAGCCACTGAAGCCCATACATAGCCCCACCCACCTTGGGCTTCACTTGGACAGGGGACAATGCTCTTCATCAACCTGTCATCAGTGCTGAAGGACGAGACCGTCTGGAAGAAGCCCTTCCGCTTCCACCCAGAACACTTCCTGGATGATCAAGGCCGCTTCGTGAAGCACGAGGCCTTCATGCCGTTCTCAGCAGGTGTCTGGGGGTTGCCTTTCTCCCTACCTCTCCCTAGGGGTGTCTGAGGCAGGTGGAACCCCAGGCTCACTGAGCCCCCCCATACCCACCCACAGGCCGCCGCTCCTGCCTCGGGGAGCCCCTGGCTCGCATGGAGCTCTTCCTCTTCTTCACCTGCCTCCTACAGCGCTTCAGCTTCTCCGTGCCCCCCGGACAGCCTCAACCCAGTGACCATGCCATCTATAACATGCTGGCAGCTCCAGCCCCCTACCAGCTGTGTGCTGTGCCCCGCTAGAACCTCCCTAGTTTCACCCTGACCAATAGTAAACCAGTTTTGGGGGCACCATCACGTCCTTCCTGCACCTCTGACCCCATTACCCCAATAGGTGGGGGAAATTAGGTGAATAGAGAGTGAGGTACCAGGGTTGAGAGCTAGGCTTAGGCCGGTAGGAGCCAGACCTTTCCCTCTGAAGGGCACCTTTCAAGCCACCTCCCTGAATCTGTCACCACAAGAAAGGACTTGGGCCCACCCCAGACCTTTAGAAAAATTCAGAACCAGACAAAAATCTTTCTGGTAAATTATTTCTTCTTTGCAATTCTAACAAAGCTATTCATAGACTATGAATAAAGATCTATTTAGACATGTCAAGTCTCCTAAATAGATACCCCTCAGGACTGGCAGCAGCAAACATACTCAAGTCCAAAACTTCAAAAATCCACCTATCCCAAAGCACCAGGAAAACTTTCAGAGTCAATTTCTTTAGAACTCTGGGTATTAATCTAAGGGGTGTCAGAGAGCATTTACTGGGGATATGAGGGGGGAACGTGAGGCCTAATCTTGGGGAGAGGGGTATGTTTTCGAGTTTTCTGATCTGGCTTCATTTCATGCTTTGCTCTCTAACTGAGGGCCGCTGGTGGCCAGTCCCCAGGGAGCAATGGGTCTAGAGCATTTCCTAAGCCTTATTCCCAAAGAATGGGGTTCCCTGCATTCCAGGCTCCTTGCTTTGAAAGGCTATACATACAACTTTTTGCCACAACGCAATCAGAAGCAATTGTTGAATGTGATAGGTGTTGGAGACAGTGGATAACCACTGGGACAAACAGTAAACAACCCAGAAAGTTTTAAAGGCTAAACTTGGGAAAGAGAGGTATCTTGTTTCGATTTGTTGTTGTTCAGTTGACTTCTTCCTTGGACTCTAGGTGGGTCCTATGCACATGGATGGGGCTGGATGAAGATGTGTGCTCAGGAAAGACCTAGGATCCAGAGTTCTCACCAGGATGTCCCTGAAGCTCTGGGAAGATGGACAGGATATGTTCAACGTAGCGGTGGACAGGGCTTCATTGACTGGAGATGGCATCCCCCAAATACACAGACACCTTCCAAAAAGATTGGATGTTTAATTGCTGATTCCAGACATTTAAGGGCATATTTTTTTCCAGGTATTGCTGTCCACTAAGCTGAGACTTCCCTGGCCACACATAATACAGAGAATTTACAAAACTAACTGTTGCTGTTGTAGGGGACTGTTGAGTCAACCAGGACTCATAGTGACCCTCTGAACAGCACACAGAACTTTTCCATCCTGTGCCATCTTCACAATCTCTGACGTGCTTGAACTTGTGCAGTCATTGTCAGTTCATCTCAGTGAGGGTTTTCCTCTTGAACTTTCACAGCACGTCGTCTTTTGCCAAGGACAGGCCCTTCCTAACAACATGCCCAAAGTTGTTGTTGTTTGTTGTTATGTGCCGTCGAATTGCTTGTGACTCATAGCGACCCTACGTACAACAGCCCTAAACTCTGCTCTGTCCTGTGCCAATCGCACTGTCTCTGATACACCCATCCCGATTACCCCAGTCACTGAATCAATCCACCTCATAGAGGGCCTTCCCCTCCTGCGCTGTCCCTCCACCCTCCCAAGCATGATGTCCCTCTCTAAGGACTGGTCCCTCCTTACAACATATCCAAAATATGTCAGACGAAGCCTCAGAATCCTTGCCTCCAAGGAGCTTTCTGGTTTAACCCTTTTCCAGCATGAATCTGTTTGTTTTCCTAGCAGTCCATGGTAACCTCAATACTCTTCTCCAGCACCACAGCTCAAAGGCATCAATTCTCCTTCTATCCTCCTTAGTCATTGTCCAACTCTCTGATGCATAACAAGTGATAGCAAAGACCATGGCCTGTATCAGACGCACCTTAGTCTCCAGAGAGACACCATTGCTCTTCAGTACTTTGGAGAGGTCCCTAACAGCAGGCTTTCCCATGGCAATACGGCTTTTCATTTCCTGGCTACTGGTGCCAAGAGTGTTGATTGTGGAGCCAAGCAGACTAAAGCTGTGAACAGTTTCAATCTCTTCACCATCTATCCTGATGCTGCCACTTGGTCCAGTGGTGAGATGCCCAAAGTATGTGAATTGAAATTGCACTATTTTTGCTCCTGACAAGCATCTCTGTTGCACTTCCTCCAAGACAGACTTACTTGGTCTTTTGGCAATCCATGGAATAATTAGCACTGTTCTCCGCCAACACAATTCAAAGGCATGGATTTTTCTTCTGTCATCCTTATTCATTGTACATCAGATACATAGGAAGCAAGCGAAAAGACGATGGCTTGGATCGTTGCTGTTGTTAATTGCTGTCGAACCAACTACAACTCATAGTAACCCTATGCACAATGACACTGAATCCTACTCCATCCTAAACCAATCTCACTACCCCTGACACACTTACCCTTGTTACCCCAGTTATTGTGTCAATCCATCACATCTGGGGTCTTTGTGAGGTAAAAAGGGCTGTGGAGAACCAGATGAGGTACTTTCAGGAGGATGTGCACATGTGAGTCAATGGATATGTGTATGCGTCTGTGTGTGAGAGAGAGCGAGCTGTGGATTAAGTATGAATGGACTAGGTTTGTGTTTGAGAATGCCTGCGTGTGTAAGGTGGAAGGAAATGCAGGATCACTGATGTTACCCCATTTCCCCGCTCCCACTATGCCCCTTCGATCGTGATCATGACCCCAGCAAGTGACAGGTGCAAAGAATCAAGGTCTGCTTGAAGGACCAGGTTCTACCACATTAAGATGTTAGGTACCAGAAGTTCAGTGAGTGGCCTTTGTACCCACTTACCAGTACGGATTACTGCAGGGTCCCAAAGAGCTAGAAACTCAGGGTGCAAGGGCCAGGTGAAAAGATTCCCTTCTCTTGCGTCTTCAATCCCCACCATGGAGAGGACAAGAAATCAGGCCTGTTGTGCCTGCCCTGAGCCAGACCCTGACTGGCTGCTCCCTGCCAGGCAGTGCAAACATTGATCCACACTGAGCTGATTAGAGCTGGAGGGCAAAGGCCAATTATTATCCCTTTACATAATGGTGCAGGGCAGGCTGGTGAACTGTCTGGCTTTGGTGGGCATCATGCCTGTTCCGAGGAACCTGGTTTGGTTTGAGGTGCCAGGTGTGCCCAGCTTTGCCCATGGCGGACTTCTGCAAGCCACCTTTCAGTTCAGAAGAGCCTGGTAGACGGTGAAGCGACCATGACTCTGCTGACAGAGGAGACCTTGGCACCCCTGACAATTGCTGTGCCATCTTCCTGCTCCCGGTGGATCTGATGCAGAGGTGCCCAGGCTGGTGTTTTTGTTACTCACCAGGTCCTGTGTCACTGCCAGAGCTGGGCAACGTGCTGCAGGTGAATACACTATTCACATAATCATGTTTGAGTTCACTTTTGGAGCCACTGTGTGGCTTAATCCATCTCATTAGGTATCTTCACTTTTATTTGTTCTTCACACAGACCTTAGGGAGGAGGTAAGCCAGGAGCCCTGCAGGAACTTTCTTACACAGGTCTTCTAGTGCTAAGAGCAAAGGAAGCCTTTTGCCACACTCAAACAGTAATCACTAACCTTATCATCCTATGCACCTGTGCAGTTACACATTATTAGGACTGCAGACCCCTCTCCTTTCTCCCCAAGAATGGCTACTGAGAGAATCCAACCTCAGGAAACAGCAGCTGTGCTTTTTCTCTCTGTGAAACTACCATAACCCCCTTTTCCCAGGAACGGTTATCTGGGACCCTAGCCCATTTCCCTTTCTTGAAGGAAGCATCTGTAAGCATCCCCTTCCCTAAGTCCCTTGTAAGAAAACAGAAATCTTTTATAACTTTTAGTGGGGGCTGGTCTTCTGCTTGAGAGCCAGCCCAGCAGTTTTTCCTCAATAAACTTTCTTGGCCTGACCTCGGTTCTATCCTTTCTCGGCGACCTTACATGTAACTTTACATAATACGAATTCAACAAAACAGCAATGTGTTTGCTTAAAACACGGCAGTGGTTTAGCTAAAAACTGCTTATCATGTATATAAGCCACATGATGGGAACCAAATCATCCTTTCCTATATATTATGGTATCACACAAATACCTTCTCCAAATGTGTGAGATAAAGACTGAACAACAATGAAAAAAGAATAATATAAAGATAGATATATATATATGTCAAAACTCACAGAATTGTACAATAAAGAAGGTCCTCAGGTGATGGGTCCATGGGGAATTGTATTGTTAGTCCAAATTCAGCACCTCTCTGATAGTTCAAACCTTCACAACATGTTCTGTTATACACGGGTTGCTACAAGTTGGAAGAGACATGACAGCACCTGGAAACAAAATGATTCTTGATTTCCTCCCTTTGCTTTGGCTTCTCAGCGTCCTGGTGCAATATTCAGAGTCTCTTCTGACATTCATTTTGGTCTTTTCTTTTTCCTCTGTCTTTGTAATGACCTTTTGCATTCTTCATGGATGATATTCTTAATATCCTCCCACAGCTCACCTGGTCTTTGCTCATTAGTGTTCAAGACCTCAAACCTGTTCCTGAGTTGGTTTTTCAATTCAGGTGGAATAGACTCAGGATCTAATTTCGATTGCTGTGGATATGATTTAACCTTCTTTAGCTTTAATTTGAACTTGCATATGAGTAGTTGATGGCCTGTTCCACAATCAGTATCTGGCCTAATTTTCATTGCTGATATTGAACTTCTCCAATGATCCCTTCCACAGATGTAATTGTTCTAATTCCTCTGCATACTATTAGGGGAAATCCATGTGTATAGCCTGCATTTATGTTTCTTATAAAAGGTGTTTGCTATGAATAATAAATCATTGATTGTGTGAAATTCTATCATTCTATGCCCAGCTTCGTATCTGTCACCTAGTCCATGTTTTCCAACTACTGATCCTTCTTCCTGGTTCCCAACTTTTGCATTCCCCTCACCTATTATTATTAATGCATTTTGGTTGCATGTCCTATCGATTT